GCAGCCGGTTGGCTAGCCACCGCCCCAACCGTGCAGTCAATTCTAATGAACATTACCACATTAGCATGGAGGTAGGTATCAGGAAAACCAGAATCAGTCAATGTCGTAGGCTACGAGGCTTTGATCTGATTAGAGTCTGTGATTGATGTAGCCAGGTGGGAAACTGTTCGGATCGACACCTCATCAATAACCTGAGACAATGACATGACAACACTCACCCAGCATTTTTGTATCTGGCAATCTAATTTCGGAAAAAAACTATTTCTTATTTTCCTTTATAATGATTGATGGTTGTTTATTTGAGGTGTTCTGAACATTTTTTATTTATTTTTAAGAGAACTACAGCGCAGTTTTAACTCCTCTGATGTTCCATGGGGGCGTCGATTACTTACCTCTCCGATGATCAATCCACTATTTTACTCCTAATCATAAACCATCTAGAAAACTCTCCAAATGTCTTTTATACTAATTTCTTTCTAATATTACGTAAAGCCCTTTCGGGTTCTCTTGAACAAAAGTTCCACACGCTAATAAAGAAGAATAACCCTCCTTATTATTTGTATTAATTCGATCAGCAAGCTGTATTTGTTATTAGAAGTTTAGCTTATTTACTCATACCATCTCAGAGAAATATTAAGTTTCTAATGATTTTTACCCCAAAAATGCGAACAGTTCGAGAGCCCGATCTGGCAAAGTAAGAGACTAGTGCCGACCTTTCGTGCTTTGTAGTAAATATTGTTTGTGAAATAGTATTATAACAGGATTTTATACCGTAAGGCAATTATACCAAGTATAGATGAGGGATTAGACTCTAACGAGCAACTCTTTGTGCATAACTTGTATGTTTTATATGATAATAATAAATGCGACGCGTCGACGAAAAAATAATGTTTTTATTCACAACCTTACAATGAACGCATTATTATTCACAATATATGGCTACCTGTTACACAGTAAATTAGAACAGCGAACCGTGAAATGAGAAAATCACATACCGCCGCATACATTACCTCCGTCGTTCCGAAAGCCGTTATCACACTAACTGCACGGTGCCGGCACATAAACGAACTTGAGAAAACTCTATGTATTAATAACTAGAACTTTAACAGTCGGAGGCTCTCCACGACGCTCGGCGACTCTCATTAACGTTCGTCGCGTTCCAACTTTACGGTACGGTGTGCACGGCGCCCATCTTAATCAAGTCGAAGTTTGCGGCCGTATTAACGAACAATGAAAACGAAACGTGTCACCATTGTTGAATGAAACTCCAGCTTATGACTGAGTGAAACTCTTAACAACGATAATTAGAACGGCAAACCGCTCCGCTGCCCTATTGTGTCGAGGAAATCATTATAACACAACCAACGTACCCTGACCCCTTCATAGTCCAACGGTGTCGAGCACCAAACAATATCTAGGGGTCAACATACGTCGGATGATACAATCTGGGTAAATACCCCAAGAATTTCCTATAACGGCGCTTATTGTAACACCTTCCGTTTTTGTGGAGTGAAGCGAATTTCGCCCTCCGGTTACTCGCAAATTGAGAGTCTCGGTGAAATAGTGACTTTTGTTATTTTTTGTAATAATTAAAATAGCTGATTGTCTCGGTATATTATGATGACAGGCCCAGGCTTACAACTTTTGAACAACGACTTATTTTAGCAAAAAGCACAACGTATTATTAAAATAACTTAGCTAACATTTTGGTAACAATTATTGGACCATGTAAACAATGTAACTGCAATATGACAAGAGTACTGACACAATTCTGTGGAGAAATACAATTAATTATTAATATATAAAACAGCGTTATTGTCATATGTACCTAATCTTTAAAAAATATATTCTTTCCATTTAAATTACGCAGTTACTTATAAAACAAATTTGTTTTTTGAATGAAATATTAATGGCTATAATATAATTATATGCAATTTACTTTATATCACTTCACAAAAAAATAATTTTAACAATACTAAATCTCCAGACACACAAAAGGAAAAACTGACGGAAAAACTATCCGTCTAACATCACAATAGTTGTTCAATGTTCATATTGTTCCATGTCATCGTGACCACTATAACTCATCTCCTGGCGGTGCGTGATCAGCATCTTATCTCTCAAGTGTTCATATGACAGACGATTTACTCCGGGAACATGTCACATCGGCCCTCGACCTACACAAAATGAAAGAAACGATTTCCCGACTCAACACACAAGCCACAAAAAGGATGACAACTCTTAATAGTATATTTTCCACAAAATACGAGAGGTTATTGTGGAAAACCTGGACATTTTTTAATTTGTTCTAAGATCTGTTTATAAGGAATAATAAATGAGTGTACCAGGAAGCCAATAATTTAATTATGGTTTTGTTTTATGGTTTGGTGAGTCGGAACAAAAAACTTTTACCATTTTAATTTTCGAGTTTTTATGCTATGCCCTCGCCAACATCAGTATGAAATTAGATAACTTTCGGAAAAGGTACCAAAATTATTTGTTTAAAGGTACAGCATAAAATTAATTAGCCCATCCCACCCCACGGTACAACATCCACTGATATTCTGGTATAATCTTTATATAATTAAGAGCCAAACTTTTCTAAATTTGTGTAACGTTCACTGGGGGCTGAGAAATTAAATTAAGCCCCCACATTCGGAGTACGGCTTGTTATGTATGTACGTGCGTGTATATGTTTCAATTTACCGCCAACATAAAGGAAATTACAAGGGTCCAGCTAACTTTAAATCTTATTTAGACGACACGACGAAAGATTAACTGTTTAGAGTGGTTCAATTAGGACGGCCCGCCGACTGTTAATGGACCAGTCGAGTTATGCGACCATGATGGATTTTCTGTGTATGCTTCAAAACATGTGCATGTTCCAACATGTTTCTGGCTCGTTAATAGGTCGTTAAGGGCTCGACTATTCCAGAAATAAACTCGTAGGCGTCTCCTCTGAACGAAATAACTCTTCAGTTTTCACTTTAACTTTCAATATTCCAAATTGGTTCCAATTCAATTCTTATTGCCATACGTTTTATATATTAGGGACTACATTATTGGATCGTATTCTGGAACCGATTTCATCAAAATAATAATTTAGTTTTCACGCCTGAAAAATTGCTTGACATTTGTACATACGTACGTTAGACGATACTCTGGGATCTGAAGTTCTGTTAGGATAATAGTCATTATAATATTTGCCTTTCATTCGTGTAAACTTGTTTTTGCATTTATGCCTGTGAGATTTTCTTTCACAATGCTTACTGAGCACAATGGCTGGCTTTTCATGAATAACATTCGTAAATGAAATTATTATGTGAGCATGATAATTAATGATTTAATGGCTAAAGATAAAATGTTATTATTGAATTTAGGGTCAGCATTCTGTTATTTCTAGCTTTTAAAATAGGCAGTCAATGTTGAAGGTTACGAACATACATTTGTTCAGGAAAATAAAGGGATAAGTAGCTTATAAAGTGACATGTCTGACATTCTCATGAATGAGAGTGCCGGTTCGAAACCTACCAACGGCTAGTACCAATGCGACTTTTTCCGAGTTATATGTACTTTTTAAGATTATTTAGACACCACTGACAATCGGTGAAGGAAAACATCGTGAGGAAACATGGGCTTATAATTTCTAATTATAAGTTTGAAATCACCAACCCGCATTGAGCAAGCGTGGTGATTAATGCTCAAACCTTTTCCATGTGAGTAGAGGCTTTGCTCAGCAATGGGCCTTTTAAGGTTGTTGATGATGAAAGTGACATGAATTTATGGCAAATTAAGATACCATATTCTTGTTTTATATATCCCCGTTGCTTCCTCTCGATTTGTCCTCAATTTGGGAGTTGGTAGTCTTAACCAGATTTTGGGCCTGTTTTCGTCTACATAGCTGCTATATACAAAATAATTAAGAACTTATTTTGTTTGAACTACCTGTCAGATAAGTTTATCGGGTACTTATATGAAGGTGGTGAAACAGCCGCTTAGTTGAGTGTCAAAAGGTACACATTCTCAACTATTTTATATGAATTCTGTTCATCTTGGCCTGTCTCGTTGGCCGATTGATCAGAGTGCGACAAGGGGTCTCGGGTTCGATTCCCGGGTCGGGCAAAGTATTACTGAGTTTTAAAAAAACCTCAGTAGTAGTATGTTGTCTGGAAATGTGCCCGGTATATGGCAATAGGCTCACCCTTTATTACATGGAACTCATAACATAACATAACATAGATCCGGTGCTCCTTACAGGTGCTGAAGGTGGCCACCCGCGTTTTTTGTGTGGTACAAATCCCACACTCTCTTGTTTTCTCACCAAAAAGTTAGGCGCCTTTTGAAGGTGTCCCCCAATCATCAAAAAAAGAAGGTGTTAGTATACTAGGTATCAAATGAAAAAAGTACTCTTTCGTAAATAAATTTTAATAATATTTTTACAAAAGTTTACGTTTTAGAACTAACAGTCTTATTATTATAAAATAATTTATTAACTTTAATAGATACTAGCTATATTCCGTGCCTTCGCCCAGTGTCAAAAGAAAAAATATTAATATTTATAACTTATGTGAATATATAACTAGATAATTTAACTTCTTAATCAACTGCTAATTTACTAAAGTGACGGTTAATGGATGAAAAATGAAATCTTAGTACCAAATGTCCGTGAACTGTTGACCTTTTTAAACTAATTTTTAATTTACCATAAGTTAATCACATCTTAAAATTATATTCTCGTCAAGCAATCGATTGATAATTCGAAATTTCAAACAACCATTGTTCTAACAAAATTAATTGCATAATAAAAACTTACTCGCGTAACTGTTCGAGGGTGCTCGATTAAATTCTAGCTCCAGCTGGGGCGTAAAATCATGTCAAACTATTTAGGCACCCTCGAATAGATACCCATGTAAATCTAATTAAGAAGCTAAATTAAATAGCTCACAATTTTTTCAGAAGAAACCGATGTTCAGTGTCAATAATTTTGGAAAATATTTATATCAAAGAGAAACTTCTTTTTCACAAATGAATCCAAATGAATCATGGCAGTGGAGATCGTTTAGTTTGCCGTCGTTAAGAAAGATGGAGCCACAGTACTCGCCATTCGAGTTGTTGGGTTCGTTATCCGACCAGTTTTCGTAGCCAGCTTGTGATAGAGTTTCATCTGGAAAATTAATCAAGTTACTAAGAGCCACACAATCTATGCACATAATCTATAATTCTGATGAAATGGCAAAAGGCTCTCATCCGAATAGTGGATATTATGTTACGTATTTAATCTACTTAACTCTTTGAGTACCGTCATTATAGACACAATCAAAGAACAATAGGTTGCGGTCACCGGTGTCCTCGCAGTGTTTGACAGTTTAAACCCTTATTTCACTGGGACACCATGGCGACGCAACCAGTTGCCGCTACCAACAAAATGGTAATAAATATACAGCTCTATAGAGAGTCATTCACTTGATGGAGTCATATGAATGATTGCGCCGCCATGACGTCCATGAAATAGCCCTAAGTATACAGCAATGGACTAAAATATAAATATCAATTATGATGGATGTCTATAATTTTAATTCAAGGCATCAAACTTATTGTTGCCTTGCCACTGCACCAACCATGCTGTCGATATCAATGTTATATGCAGACATTTAAAAAGAAAATGACAAAGTCTACTTACTGAATATAGTTTTAAACACAACAGTAGCATTTCCGACGGGTTTCTCAGCTCTGAAGCCAGCGAAGACGAAGTACGAGGCTTTGGTATTGCGGACCTTTGGTGCAGCGCTTGTAAGGTTCATGATGGCTAAGTGTTCGGCTTCAGAGTTTACCACCACGAGGTGAGCGCCCTCTGCCTGACACTCGGAGTAAGCTTCACTCCAAGGGAACGCTATCTTAGAGATCTTGTAGCAACTTCCCGTTGATGCATAGTATTTGTAATCTGGAAATGAAACGAGATTGTTATTGAAGTGCCAAGTTTTTTTAGAATAGGATTGAATATATTATCTACTCAAAACTACACTGGTGTGAAGTAGGCATAGTTAGATTAGGTTAGGGTAATTTAGCTTAATTAAACTGTCAAACACCAAGCGGTCACCGGTGGCCGCGACCTATTGTTCTTTAATTGTGTCTATAAAACCGGTACTCGACGAGTTAAAGATTAGACTAGATTACATTAGATTAGAGATTGTAAATTCTGTGAGAGAGTGGTACGTCTCCGGTCGAGCCTATTCGAGTTACAATACGCAATACGCAAGCAGGCTTTAACACCGTATGATAAAGGTACGCTCTGCAAATAGTTTCGATACATCTATCCTAATTATTTCATTTATTATTTCACTAATCAATCGTTATTACTTATCAGATCCCTGACCTTTCCCATAAACATTGCAATGTCGGTCGTAAGGCGCGTCCATAGCAGCCACCTTACATATGTACGGCAGCCCTCGGTAGCAGACTGATGTCTCCACATCACCAGTCCGCGTGCCAACCACGCAGGTGCCGAATCTATCTGAGAAGTTCGGTGGTTCTTCCACTGTAAGTACAAGATTATATTATTATAACTTTTTGTACTGTGTTAGCATGTTTCTACTCTCTGTTACTAATCGTGGTAACCAGTAATTGGCTTCTTGTTGCATACCACATTATATTTAATCAAATTGTATAGCTGTTGGTTTTCCAAATGTATAAATAAATAAATAAATAAATAATATATTACTAACATTCATTTTTTACATGCTATATACACTTTACACTAGGTCCTACTACCCTACTTCACTCTTACTGACACTAACTATACACCGTGAAATCTGTTTTGTTTTTGTCCCGCGATATAACAACTTACCATAAGGCGTACTTTCGATGTATAAAAAATAAAGAATATTTTTTTTTTTAGTAAAAAAAAAATTCGTTGGAATACGTTCGTACGAATTCGTCGCACATGAAACACTAGACGTAAATTTGTAGGCACCTTTTGCATCGCACGTGCCACCCAACGAGAAATATCTCTTTGACAATTACATAGCGTAATGTTTTGATAATGTATTATGAATTCGTCTGCACTTTCGAAGTTTGCTTTTTGCAATTGACTAGTAATTTTTTTATTTTGAACATTACATTTCTTTATAAAACTATTGTATTACAAAGACAGAACCATTTTACTTCAGGGCGAAAACGAAATAGATTTCACGGTGTATAAGTTTTCCTCAAACATACAAACATCCGCCAATAACCGTATGTCCAACCGCATATCATCAGCTCGTAAGAGTCCACTACTGGACTATTGGCCTCCTCGGTCCAAAGAGGGATTTACCAGAATCTCTACTCCTGACAGGAAATTGAAGGTCGTAATTCGAAAAAAAATCAGTGTAAGAGAGCGCTGCTGCCTTGTCTCTCCGTTTTATAAGTATCATAGGTATATATATAAGGTATATATATACAACTATATGTAATTATTGCCATACAAAGCACTTTACTCTGTTAATTCACTTTTATCTTACAATTTCCGCGTTCCTTCTCAATTTACAAATTAGGACCTTTCTACGTATAAATAACATGTCATTATTTATAATTGGTTCCATGTTAACATAATAATAAGTGGTGTATCTATACATGGCTTTCCACCCTCCTAACCATCTCCGACCACAAAAATCTTATCAATAATGGACGAAATCAATAACTAATCTCAACCCCCAAACCGACGTGTAAGTGGGGTTACCGGAGCCCTAATTACCCCCAATCAAAGTCCAGCAGTGGACCTGTCACGTTTAGGCTGTTTATAGTCGGAGCCCCAATTACTACCCTCCCCAATCTCCCCAATTCCTATATCTCCAACAGTCCTCAAATGTTTAATCCCAAAAATTCGGTAACGCACTTTTAACGCCTCTGGTGTTCCGGGTGTCCATGTGCGACGTAGATTGCTCACCATCAGGTGATCCGTATGCTCGTTTACTGGCTTAAACCCAAAAAAAAACACCTGTGGATCAATCTTGGATTTAAGAGATCGATGTTGAGATTATAATGTTACGACATGAAAGAAAGACAAACAGAGTCTATCGTTAATTATTATGTTTCCGGCTTACCCACGTAACTGTTTGACGAAGAACTCGACTAGTTTCAAGCCAGGCTCAGAGCTCAAGAGGCTCGTACTCATGAGCAGAATTCCGCGTCAGTAAGACGAAAACATAAAAATTAATTTGAACATAATACAAGTGGTTGTTTTACGACAAAAAAAACGATTTAACTAGTATGTTTCTCGAAAGTTTGAATAAGGTTTAATATTTAAAATATTAGTAGGTACTTACCTAGTGATTTTGTAGTTAACGAAGCGTGTTAATATGCGATGCGATGGCAGTGAACCATAACTATATTATAATCAAAGACACTATTAATATATCACGTCCATAGTTAATCAAGTAATCACTAAACTGTAGATAATTACTTGCTTCGATTAATCACCATTGAAGTAGATGTTAGCACGGAGTAGTAAAAAGTGAAGAAAATGCTTTAACTTGATCTATTCTGTTAGTTTTTTATAATAACTATCGTGAGACATATCTACTAAATTAACTGAAATTCGCGGGTTACTCACGTGAATATATTGAGATAAGCTCTACTAGTTTTGAACCACATAGGAGCTCTTTCTCATGAGCAGCGTGCGCGGTCGTGGCGATGTCTCATGGGGAGTTTTATTTTATACCCACGGTTTTTATTCAGTTAATGTATAAAAATAGTTTGATTCCATGCCAAAGAAAGACAAAATTATCTCATAATAGATAAATAAATAAATAAATAACTATAATAGATAATAAATAAATAAATATCAATAAATCAATAAATGAATAATTAAATAAATAAAAAAGTACTTACAATTAATAATCGGTTCTTCTTCAGCAGATTCATGATCCTTGCCATCATTGCCGACCCACACATAATTCCCAATGTCAGGGAACTTCTTGAACATAGCATGCATTTGTTCTATGTCATAGTCTGACCGAGGAACCATCAGCTCAGCTCCTTCCACTTGACACAATGGTTCCACAAGATAGTGAGGCGTAGTTTCAATATGGAGTTTGTAAAATGCATCGGTTTTTCTATTATATTCATAGTCTGATCTGTATTGCTTGCTTTCTTGCGGTGGGGGCGCTTCTGAAGATGCTGTGGGGTAAAAAGATGGGGTTATGCTACCTGGTAGCAAGGAGACGTTGGATGTAGGTTACTGAGCAGGCGTGCTCCATCGTAAACTATATCATCGCTTACCATCAGGCGAAATAGTGGCCAAAAGTCAGCCACTGTCGACGTACAGTAGTACAGATGACATCAAAACAAAATTTATAAAAAAAATGTTTCTTTGTAACTCCTTATTTTTAAATTGTTATAATAGTGGTGTATTATTTCTATCTACATTGCTCTAACTACCTCTATGAAACCTAATAACTATACTCCTTCTACCCTACATTCGGGTAAAAACCTAATAAGAGTAATAAGATTAGCTAAACACTACTGCCGAAGTCACAGCTCACGGGTTTGTCGAGTTCCGAAAACCTATATCTTAAATTTTTCACTAAGTAGGTACTGTTTGCCAAAATTCACTATCTCACCGCCCTACACCACTTACAATAAATAACATAATTTATACATCATTAACTTACAATTCGAGAAATTGTAGATATACAAACAAAACATTTGCCTACTGACTGAGATACATACATGATAGATTAATCATAAAATACTTATAAAATGTGAATCACACTTGTCATTTATTGATATAAGTAAAGTTCATAGTCGTTTGCCGGCGTTATCACTTAGTAGGTGTATTTAATTAATATGTTTTGACGATAGCTTTCATTATTTGCTTACTTCCCCCATTATCTAATAAATAAGTACTTGACCTCTCAATAAAAACTATCTTGAGGCAGTTAGTTGTACAATGTATGTACAAGCATGTATGTACAATGTATGTAAGCGAAACCGAATTTCACATTAAATTTCGGTTGCGCTTATGAGTCCTGTTCGAAGCCTGAAACTGACCTAACACCATCAAATAGTTATGAAAGTAACAGACACACTATATATAACTCAATATTAATTTAATACTTTATTTATATACGCACCTTTAAGATAAAAAATTTCATGAATTGACTAAGTATTTAAAAATCCTAAAATAATTTAATTCATGAAAATGTTCGTTTAATAACGGTTTTACTTTAAAGGTGCGAATTGTACACGGTTCTGCCATCGGTTTTGTCTACGTTACCGGTGGAAAAAGTAGCCTTCATGTTTATTAAAAATTATAGAGATTACATACCTATAATAATTTATTAAATTGTATCAGGGTGCTCAGTAGTTATTGTGTGAAACAAAAACGTAACAAAACTCAATTACCTAAGTCATAATGTCGAATTTTCAATAACCGTTAATTTTTCTAGTACCTAAATAATCGTAATAAATACTATAAACACTTATTAATAAAAAGTGTACTTACAGAATATCACAGAAAGCACTAGAATCACACAATTCCTCATTTTGAATTACTTATTATATTAATATCTTTAGAAACGTCTGCTCTCAAGATGCGCTAGGTACAAACAACTGCAGACCAATGATAACTATATTATTTATAATTATACTAAGTACCTATAGAAGCAATAAAGATAATAAAAGCGCAAACATATATCTCTTATATTACAAATGAAATGATATTACATAAAATTTAGTCTGTTTTCCTTGGTTATCGCAGCACGTGTGGACCGATTTAGCTAATTCTTTTGCATTCGGTCAAACACAAAATATTAGAGCAGGGCTCTTACTTCTTCTATATGAAAATTATGAATATATGTATTGTACAGGAAATTTGTGACATAGCACTTAATGTTGGCTTACCGAAGCAGGTCTCTAGTTCGCAATAAAAGAGAAGAAAGCTAAGTAAGAAGTTAAACAGATGTTTTCTGTTATGTTGGAAATTAATACTCAAACGAATCCGGGGCAATCCGTTAGTTTATTTCATATTTATAAATAATGCGAGTACTCGGAAATTATGGATTTCCCAGGTGCGTCATTTTTTGTAAGTCATAAACAGATTGGGTAATTTAATTTCTTAGTAAATAAGTAACTTATAGATTTGTAAGTAAAACAAATGATAAAACGTCATGCCACTTTAACTTCTAAATCTCTAAAGAAGATTCTAGGAAAACCCTGTTTTTAAATAAAAGTAGTATGTTCATTTGTTTGTTTGTTAGTAGGTAAAATTAACATCAAATTCAGTTCGCTGATAAGATCAAGAGAGATGCTGGACGCAGGTGATGGTGGTGTCGATTCCAAAGGGTAACTGGTTCAATCGTCAGGTCGTCCAAATTAATTGTATTACGTTGAATTTATTACGGCGTCTCTATTGGTAAATGGCAACAGGTAACGCTCGTTATTACAATTAACTGGTTAAATTAGTAAGTATTATAGTAACAGGAAACCTAATTCTAAATCTAGGTTATTGATCTTCGAAGGATACCTACTAATGGCTAAAATATTAATAATCTACCTAAAACGCAGGTAAAATTGCTTTACATTGTCTAGACGTTCTCTCTGAAAGACCTTCTAGGGTATCAGCATCCAACATATTTTTTTAGCTAAAACTAACTTATTCAATTCCAATGCACCTGTGATTCAAAATGTACTAAATACAACTTAATAATATTTCCACTCGTTGTTCCCAGGGCACCATGCGCAGTGACATGCACGGAATGGAGTTGGCCGGACAGAGTGACGTGTGCTCTAACCTGGAACAGTATAACCGCAACTACATGATACTCTTGTCGCGGTGAACCTAACGGATTACCGGGGCTCCGGCTCGAAGTGCAGGAGAAGGAACGGGGTGGTTTTTAGTCAGTAAGAGTCCCGACACTCCCTCGATGCGGCGGGAGGCATCGAAGCCGGACAGGCGGGAGCAGTCATTCGATGATATTCCCCCCTTAAAAAACTACATGATACTCTTAACACATCAACATCACAAACCTATAAGTGGTCAATGACCAAAAGAATCTTCTCGCACGGAGATTTGAGCATCAATCACCACTCTTGCTCAATGCGGGTTAGCGATTTCTAACCTATAATAAGAAATTATAAGCCCAGGTTTCCTCGCGATGTTTTGTTTCACTGTTTGTCAGTGAAGTCTAAATAATCTTAGAAAGGCACTCATAAATAACAGCAAAGAATGGGTATTAGGTGCATTGCACACAGTCTACGTCTACTTACACCTTCAGGGATGAACAGCAAAAGGAGGGATTGATATACGCTATGAAATAGTAGGTACTATGTTAGAATTTACTCTTGACCTTTTTGATATCTATTTGACCTGAACGTTCGTAATGTTTCCGTAATAGTTCTTATCTTGGTATGCTGAATTGACAAGGTCAGCGCTTTTCACCAATTATAGGTCTAGCTTCTGCCAGTGGACCATTTTGGACTATTATATAGACCGTATGGGTTTCATAAGAACCGACTCGGGGACTGGGCAGCTCTCTGATAAATGTGATCTAGCTAAATGGCAAACATCAACCTGTTTGTCGAGTGGGGAAATTATGATAAACGTTCTTATACAGACAGAGATGGTCCATAGTTCAGTATTGTTGTAGGCAACTGTAGGGTCTGTAGGCACACCTTTTCTATCTACGATGAAAGAAATATGGGCTTTATAATAGGAATTAGGAATCTTAACCTAATTTAAGTGTGAAATAAAAGTCATGGACATAATTATGCAGTAGTTTATTGTTACAGTGTCGCGAGCCGGGCGTCCGTCGCTACCCCGGCTCACTACCTGCGCGTACGCCACTCACCACAGAGCATCACATTCTAATTACATACGAAATACAAATACTGTACTAAACAGAACATAGAACTGACAGAAATTCTGATTTACATTAACAGGCAATATTTATAGCAATTTGAGCAAATACAAAACACAAATTACTAAAATGCAATAATAATAATTACGTAAAATGGAAGTATTTAGATCAAAATTTCCATCGTTCTCATTCGACGGTGTGTACAATGTGCTCAGTGACGTACGACGCTACAAAATTATTACAATAGTTTTGGCAGTTCGCAACAATGGTAAAATGCAACTAACTCCGTACAGGACAGAAACACGTATCATATATTTACATTTACATTGTCTCTGGGTCGCTGAATCAACAAACTAAATCACAATACTAAATGTTAACTAAAACCATAACTATACATTACACATTGTTAAGGGACAATACCGCAAAGGAAACATTTCTACTAAGTCTTATAGTGAACGTCGTTTGGGCTATACATAAAGAGAATCAATACAGCCATTTCATTAAATCTAAAGTTAACTTAAACGAGACTATCAGTGCACAAAGTACTATTTACATTACGACTGGTAATAATAGTAATTAAATCAAATGTCATAATCATAAAACGAAGGATACAAATCATTTTCATATTTTGTATTTTTTTTTTACTTTTTTATATATTGTGGAAATTATTATAATACAAAATTAATGTGGGATTATTGAACACAAACTAAGAATGACGCGATCTAATGTTAACACGAAAACTAAGTCTTACCGCTTTACCACTAGTATTTACACGAAACGTAAAGATAGTGCGAAGACGTCCGCGTGCGCGGGCGCATTCGAGTGTGCGATCACTAAAATTAAGAGAAAGCCTTGGCTGACTGGCCGCAGGGTACAAAGAAGAATACAAACGTGTTGTCCTACCAACTAAAGATCACTTGTGTAAATGAACAGTCGTGTACTTATAACTTAAAATAATACGAGATCTCTGAAAGTCTGGAAACGCAATACGTACAATTACATAAAATAAGAAGCGTGTTCGTTTAGGCGCCGCAATACTGTCCGCTAGTCGCACGACCACGACCACGTCCTCCGTCACGGCCACAAGTCGCAGATTGTGGATCAAATGTGCATACACTTATCTCCTCAGATTTCATTAATCAAATACTAAATTTCCACATCAATTTCCCATTTACAGTGAGTGATACAATTTCATCCACTCCGCAACTACTGAGACAATATTCACCTACTTATTAACCTTATTTATATACAATCAACTTGACAGGAGGACACGTATACCTATACAGCAGTTATATAATTAAGCAAATTTCTAATAAACCAATGACATGATAATTAGCTAATGACCACTCGTATGTACAGTACACATAGTGCGGGGTGAGGGGTGCGGGGCTCCAAAAACTACGCGTAAACGGATCACAGTGACAGTTATCTGAGATAAGGCAAGGTGGGTCCGTCGAGGCTCGAGCGAGGTTCTAGCTGCCACACACTAAGTATACAATACAACTTTACCATTCCACCCGAGAACGACAGGACAGATTTACATGATAGATAATCCACATTAATATTTTGACACATCACAAGGGGGCAATACGAAGATTCAGTTTATTTTTTTACAAGTGCCATAGACCCATATATAGTTCATAGTGTGTGTGGCAGCTAAAACCTGAAAATTGCAAGCACCTCCTTTGTACCATCGAGGTCTTATTCAAACCGCTGCTCGACATTGATACGAAATTATCTCTAGAATTAAACTTAAGAGTTACAAATAATAAAAACTTAATTTATTAATATGTCCAAATAGGTATTTTGATGTTACAGAAACAGCATTGATTTACTAATTTTAATACGTGTGTGTATTTTTTTAAACTTTTGTAATAATGTTTAATAATGTTGTATTATGTCGTGCAGCGGTGTGTAAGACAAACCTACTTGTTGTGGGCTTGCTACATCGGAATACATCCCATACCAAACTAGCCTAACATTAATACTATGCATTTATTTACAAAGTTTTTTTGTTTTATCTTTTATATAGTTTTGAACTAGTTATAAGGCTACGACGTCTGGCGACATTCACACGAAGTCTGTCTATGCTATATATGTTAGCAGCGTGATTGTAGTACAACTACATAGTACATACATACTTACAACTTAAATGGAAACATCAATTTTGAATGATACGAGGTAGGAGTGTACTCATACGTTGTATTAAGACAAATTGTGTTATATCGCCTGTGTGTTAAGAGTTGTTTTAGAGTAATTCTAGTGTTTTTCTTGGTGTGATGACAATGTATGGTTACATTTCTACTTCGTAGTACACATTTAAGGTTACCGATGCCAATAATTAGACAAAAACGACGTAATATTCACGCACACTAACACATTCAAATCAGTACAATAATGTCAAACCTCTAATATATCTATTAAATGCTTGAAATACATTTACAAACACTGCTATAAAATATCTCACTACTGCAATGATAGTATGTGAACCTCATTCGTACATTATATTTTTTATTGTATTATTTATAATCGCCGAGTAAATTAGTTGTAATATAATATCTATAACTATTCTAACCTAACTACGTAAAAATGTTCAGTCGATGTTACATACAATGGTGTTTAGGATTAAGCTTAGTATACACAATAGGTCGGCTACACACGATAGTTTGAAAGAGATTCTTGTTGGCACACAACTGAAATCTGAATTAAGTATGAAACTGTCGTGTGAAGACGGCCTACAAAGGAGATTAAAAGAAACACATAGAATAAATCAATCGATAGTAATATAAAATTAAATGTCGTAACGCGTTATATAATATTGCAACATTTATTGCTTGCAACTTGCAACGTCCGTAGAAACACAATCAGGCACACATTGACACTACGTCACACTTACAATTACATGGAATCGCGGAGTTCAATGAAACATAACCTAGTACTACGCGAAGCGACTCTTTACTGTATATACTGTCCGAGGCGGGGGTCGTTGACCTGCCTGCCTTCCATCATTTTCCACTCCATGCCATCAATTTGTCTCTTTATACATTTCTCTTGTTTCCTAGCTACGTTCTGTCGCTAGGGCGACACGTTTCGTTGTATAAAATAGTGTTGCGAACAACATTATCCTTTCCCTTGCCTATATCTTCCGTATTGCCAGTTTACCAGCTCCGTACACTAGTCTACACACATGGCTCTACTCGCTACACACATCAGATGACCTAAGTATTACGTAGTGACATCGCGTCGCATTATTTTACTTTACCCAACAACTGCGCGCTCGCGGTCAAAGGGACTACCGTTTTTTGCTCACCATATGACGCTTCCTTTCGACCAATAGAGAATGACTTAGTGTTACTCCATTGGTCGTTCAATATTTGACATCTATAGTGATTGGATAGACTGTTCTTTTAACTAGATTAGCGCCATCGGTAGCCCCCATTCAAATGCACGTTTTACAATTGGGTAGATGATAGTTTTCTATAAAATACTATATTTTTTACTAAAATCGGTAGGCAACCTACCTTATTGTAGAATATAAAGCCCGTTTTGTCACTTGGTTGTCCATATTTTCTATACAACTAATTATTTCGCGTTCCTAAAGTCTACCCAATAGCATTATCTATGGAAGTGTCCACAAATTTTACATACATAATAATTATGTATTAATAATACAATGTTTGTAAGTTTTAACGCGTCCTAGTTACAGCAATGAGGTATGGTGCGGTATTTATACAATTCAATTTTTTTAAAGTCAAATAAAAGCAGATAACATTTTTGGGAACGATTTACGTGACATGTGGACTGCTACTGGCATTTGAACTCTGTTTCTAAAGAATAAAGGTGGATTATTGACTGTACAGTTTGTGATCATTTCTAGAGTTCAAATCCCAGTTTACATTTAAACTGTTTAGGCGAACTCATATGTTGATTGGATACATTAATTCCGTATATTCGCCAAGAATATTTTGCATTAGATACTCAGTACACAGTATTTAGATTTTAAAACAATTAATTTTATACCAAATCATCACTATGTCATATATTCAATTACCTATTATCTAATTACAATGAATATTTAAAGCAGATTACGTTTTAAAAACCAAAACTTATGCATACTTGTGTGATAAAGGTCATTGAACCTTGGCTTGTGAAACAAACATACGAGTTCACCATTATTGCAGTCCAAAATCGACATTACATAGTAGTTTTTAAAGTCAAATATCGCTTCTGACGACCATAGAGTTAGTCGTTTTGACGTTGACGGTGACAGTCGAGAAGCGACCTAGCGCTGCGGTGTTAGAGTGTAGAATCGCCTGAATGAGGTCGATCGCCGATCGTTGATCCATAGTCGACGTTATTGCGTTGTGATTAGAGTCGAGTTTTGCTATAGTAGATGGTTGAGACCGCGTCGCTTGTGTCATTCCCAGTGATGCGGCGAGGGAGGGAGCTCGGACGCGTGCGCCACTGTGGAGCTGAGGACACGGCGTTAGTACTGCCGACATACAAACCCACACCCACGCCACTTGCTTGTGTACTGGACTCTACCACCTACTGTCTCACTTTCATTGATGTTTTAATTTTTAATTGTAATATATGTTTTATAGTTATTGTAGTTCCTTTTTCAATTAAGCCAAAAAAAAACAAGTGTTTAACATGTTTAGAAGTGAACAAAACGCTTAACAATAACGTTCAGAGTATAACTAGAATCGATAAGTCATGTGACAATATCGAAATATTTTATTATCCTGATCAGCAGTCGTGAGTCCAACACACAAAACAACATGCAATTTAATCATTTGTCTGAACAAAATCTATGATAATAAAAGAGAAATTTTATGGCAAAACTGCATCACAAATCCAACTCTACAATAACTACTGAAAAATTAATGAAAATCACCACAACCTTGGCACAGTGCACCTCTCATTCTACGCATGCACTACGAGGCAACCCTAACGGAAACTCATCCCTTGAATATCAACTCTACTTCACTATAATAAAGTTCATATTTCAAGAGACATCGCTTCTGCTAGGGCTGCCGAAACCCAACTAAATCGTACAAAATCAAATTCAACCATAGGTACTGTATTTCTTCAAAATCGATACTAGTGTTTTTTGTCGATTTTGAAGAAGTCAATTATAGACTTGTACTTGAGTTCGGTCGGTAGACATGTAAGTGAAAAAATTCTTAATTTGAATTCAATCTGTAATTTTAAATCGTGTTGTAGCTTAAAAATAAATCATTGTATTTGGTTCCATGCTTAACTTAATGTTTGTAATGGCATCGCTTGAATAATGACACCAAACTCGAGTACAAAGCCTTACAAACGCATGCACTGCAACCGAACCGTAAGGACGGAGCGAGCACTATCTAACGATCAACCCTTTTGAAAGTAGACGACGGTCGCCGGCAACAACACTAGTAGCAGTATCGAGCAAGTGTTGCCGTCGAGGGTCGGACCATGCGTGCGGACGCTTACGGGGCTACGGGGCTCCTACGCAGCGCACAGAAATATCACGGGCGATAGCAGTAGATATTTTGCCGCCGTCTTGAAAGGGGAACAAACTTTTGCTTTCGAACCCGCCCTAGAGCTGTCGCAAAACACACAAAAAAGCAGAATTAAAACTACCGTACGGGTGAACAGCGGTGCTTGAAGCGGGATGACACCATTTCAAGAGGGTTGATATGCTCGGAAGTGTACAGAGGGCGCTGGCAGCGCGGGGAACTAACGTGGGAACAACAGTAGACAAGTCGTGCGCAGGGAGTACGACTGCCTCGCGCTGCGCTATATATACAGAATGTATGGATGTATGACAGTACACGACACACGTGCTATTGCTCACTAACAAACTCGCACCGTGCCACACTCAGTTGTGATGACTGTTTGCTTTCTCTGGTTTATTATCGTAAACATCGTCTGCCGTGGAGACAACACTGGAAACGCTTGATACCTCATTACAAAATAATTCTGTATGTTCATTACTTTAATCGTACAAAACGAACAATATAGGTAGTAGAAAGAATAAGCAGTATTTTAGAATTAATACACTAAAATGACGCTTCAACGAGACACTTAACAAAGATTTTTTGTGTAGTTGTATAGTACAGTGTTGTCAGCACGTATGGTAGGAATGTATGGGCGTGGCTCATAGGGGTGCGGGTGGTCACTAAGGCGTGTTAGGTTACGTATCGCAAAGAAATCACCTAGTGTCGGTTGGTTGCGGTTGGTTGCGGTTGATGTTGGCGGCGCCTTACCTTGCGAAGCTCTTGAACGCCGCGGACTGCGGGTTGATGCAGAGCGGGACCCTCGACGTTTGCAGCTGTTCTGCTATGAACTTGTGTATCTCCTCTGAAACATTTGTTTGTGGTACAATTAGAAGGGATTTTGGTGTGGTTAACATATACTACTTCGTATACAAAACGTATTTTAGCCATGTGTAGAATGATGGCGTAATGATCAAGTATTATCATCTTGAAAGTCCTCGCGCTTACGATACGTTTCATATAACATGCTCATGAAATTAATGTATAACTAATCATTTTCATATTTCTTTATAGATCTCCATGATGACATGAGAATGTACAAAGTACTAGAGGATCTACAGATTATTATGATATTTCACAATACTTCTCCGGCAACGGATGCACTACGGATGTAACAAGAATACAACAACGTTTCATACGTCACTTGTCAGTTGAATACATCAGGAAGTTGGTGACCTATTATTCTTTAAAGTCCATAAAACAGGGTAAATAGGAATTGAGAGGTAAATAGAGGCACAAGAGGAGTAAATAGATATGGGGAAATTCTTTACATCTCGATTCCTATTGACTCCATTGCGCTCTATAAAAAAAACTCTGTAAGTGACGATGTGCAGTCGGTTGGTACCTTTGACCTGGTGCACGGAGGTGAGCTTGCGCTCCCAGGCGTCGTGGAAGGCGTGCGGCGCGGCGGGCTCCAGGTCGGGCGAGTAGTGGCGCGCGGCCGGCGGCGCGCTGTAGCAGCACTTGCACATGCACGAGTGGTAGCGGAGCCGGCCCTCCTCCAGGTACGGGTGCGCCAGGGCGTCAACCACCGATATACGCTTCATCGGGTCGAATACTAGCATCTGCCGAAGGTAAAAACAGGTAATTAGCAGTTTGTTAATATTATAATATCTGTCATTCAATAGATTTTCGACATTATTAAAAGACAATAAAGTCAGAAATTCTGTACCGTGTCCATTAGGAATATAACAGTTTCAAAACGGAAATAAGTAGGTACATTAATGGGGTGTCTTACATTAGTAACGATTATTACATCGCGACGCTGGGACATAAACGCGATCAAATCGACGACGAATGTCATGTAGACGCTTGCTGTGCCCTACCAAGTGGCATCGCATACGAATCGCATTATGTCGCGTCGCGTCGTATGGTATTGGTCGATGACGTAGTGCACCCTTCTACTAGTTCCAGAAGACCAGAGAGAGTAGTGTACCTGTGCGAGTAGATGCACGGCCTCGTGCGTGGCCTGCACGGAGAGCGTGTAGAGCGCGGCGAGCGCGGGCGGGCGCGGCGCGCGCCGCAACATGTGAGCGCGCGCACCCGCGCACGCGTGCCGCATGTCCTCCAGGGACGGCGTGCCCAGCAGCTCCGTGATTAACTCCAGCTGGAATGTTACATGACGTTTTATTAAAGGTGAGCAGAATCCAACTTGCTCGCTTACTCTTGAAACTAATCTCAATTTTAATATTTTTCACTCAATGTTTATTTAATGCCAACACTATACAACCCCAATCGTAGCTGTTAAAATAGCATTCAGAGTATGGAAGATAAAGCTAAACTCAATACCGGTTCATTCACTCACTATCCACCCAATACGGATTCAATGAGCGCTAGTGTAACACTCATGAGTACGAAATATCAAAATATCAATCTCGATCGATCGGAATTGGATTCAAGAACAAGCCAGCTGATAACGGTCGTAAGAAGCCGCTGGATGCAGGGCACTAATTAGAGAAAGGTTGATGATGAAGTAGAATCTTTCCCTTAGGACGTCCAGAATCAAAAATGGATGTACTGCGTGAGATTGTATTTAAAAAGGTGAAGATGATCGACAGGAAGAAGAATAAGAAACATAATTATTTGTGTATGTTTTTGTCGCTATATTTACACAACTGAGGGCTTAGTACGAAACGAGACCGAATTCGTCGTTGTGATTGGTTGGTTGATTAGAGCCGGCCAATCAGAGCGCAAAACGCGTACTCGTTTCGATTACTTTAAACTATTTGGTTTCTGATGAAAATTGGACGCTAAGTTTAATGCCACACGATTTATTTTTCAGAAACAAAAGACCCTGTCCTGTCCTAACCTTAAACAAATCAAAGTTAAGCCAGTGGATAAGAAATTCCCAGTACCCTTTTATTTCATAACTCCTACGTTCATTTTAGCAGTAAACCCGTAGTTTCATTGTTTACAAGTTAGTCAAGGAAACCCCATAGCTGGTGTTATTTCTGCTAAAACGTGAATTACATTGAAAGAATCACGTGCTGGGTGAAGTTGTAAATAAATCCTTTTCTTTGAAAGTTATTTCTTTTCTTGTATTCGGTTAAAAGAAAACAGTGATTAACTTAATTTTAAGTAATATGAATTGAATTGAAATCATTCTCTTTTAAGTTTTCCTCAAAGAGATTGGCGGTGGTTTTTATTGTCAGATGTTTTGCTAGGATTATTTTTAGAGATGAACAGTAATACTCAGTTATAAAATAGAATTAAAAAAACAAATAAAAGTTAGTTAGGGAAAGAGATTCCCTAATCTCTATGTTTCCGAGAGGACATAGACATCCCTACGTATACGTCCCGTACCAACCAATCGCAAGTGCGAATCCTAGACTCTAAAACTCGAAGTGTTACTTTTAAAAGTTTCCAAATCATATTTTACCCATCGAAAACCATGGAAACAAAATCTGCACCCATAGGAATGAGAATACAGTGTTTCAAAATTGGGAAGGAATTAGTCAAATAAAAGACGTCAAATCGTGTGACACAGCCAATTCCTTATTGAGACGAAAAACGAGAGGATCACCCTAGCGCCATCTGCTTAACAAGAATACAGAAGCCCCTCATTGAGTATTGTTTTCAAAGCTAGCTAGCTACCACGTACCTGTTGTACAGGGCTCTGCGCTTGGAACAGGATCCTCCTGCCGAGCAGCTCCCCGAATATACAGCCGACGGACCAGACGTCCACCGCCGCTGTGTAATGGTTCGCGCCCATCAGGATCTCCGGTGCTCTGGAATTGAGAATATAATCTTCATTAACAACTAGTTTCTTATTTAATAACATTTAAGGTGAGGTCATTCATGCAAATAACTATTACTACTGCAATATGTTTGATGGCATGGTGTTTTTACTTATTATTTAGTTAATTACGTTCACTAAACATTCACGTTTTAAGAAGAAATCACTGTTTCATAATATACAAAAAAGCTTTGTATATTGTTTATTATCCGTATTTCGCAGAATACCTCGATTTTAGTACATTAATTGCTCTTAATCCACAATAATCTGTTCTTAACGAAAGAATAGGACGGTTGATAAACAAATAAATTAAAGGAAATTCTTAAAATAAGGTTGGACCAAACAATTTTTTGCATTCGCGTAAATTGTCATTAACATTATTTTTTTATATGAAACAATAGATAGGAAAATTCTATTTATTTCTAAGAACAGCTGTCTGACCCCGTGCCCCTTCTATTCGTGTCGCCCATATTACGATGCAAACAAAAATAACTTTTAAGAATATTTTTAATAGAGTCTAATATTGAAGTGGTGACTAATAAAATTTGTTATTATTACTTTTGAGACTCAATTTAATATTTTGGAGATTTATTGACCTACGATTCTTAATTGCAGATAAGTACGCATGGCGTATTTACGCTTGGATAATTAAAATCTGAGCAAAGCAATATTATATTATAGCAATGTATTTAATAGAGATTCATTAAAAGCTTTGAAGTGAGTGGATATTAGATTATGAAGTTTAATCAACCCAGTCTAGGAAAATGCAGAGTTTTCTCAACGATCCTAGTTGGTAAGCTGACTCTGCAAAGAAATCCCTTGGGCAGGTGGACGTGTCGCCGTAACTTTGTTCCAAGCTACTAACACAGTAATAAAGGGGACAATTTCCCGAGAAAACTACATTTATAACAAACTAAACAGAACAGATAATATAACAAACTCTTTATTAATACTTCATTTGAATCTACTATGCGCTTTCAATAAACCTAAACAATTTCCAATTTAAAATTTAATCCGTCCTCTGAAACGTGACAAACAAACTGTATATGTATAAAAGATGTTGGATATATAGCAATTTACATATTTCAGTATATTTGGTTTGTGTTCATTTGCATGCGGTGGGAACCGCATTCGTTTGATAAGCTCGAACGAAACAAAACACAACATGGGGAGATTCCACAGGGTATTCATTTAGACAAGGTCATATGTGTACCCTTTGTGTTGGGGTGAATATGATGGGTATTTTGTGAGCACAGGAAATGTGTGCAATGAAGGCGACCTCAGGAACTAAGGCCGGCAAAATGCAAGCGAACTATTTTGACAAAACCACCGCGCACTGATGTTTTGGACACAAACGCGGTTAGCGCGGCGTCCTACTTTCAAAACTGCGGTCAACAGAGCACAGGTCACTCATTCATTCACTTTTTATTCATTCAACACCAACGAAACGGTTCGCCGCACGTTGCAAACACTTCGCGAGAATAGCACCGAACCAATCTGTGTACACTATTCGAAAGAAATAAAATCCAAACTTTATTTTCAGATAAAATACGTGCTATACGATATATTTGGCAACTTTATAGTTCCAAGAAAATTGTGTCCTAAACCAACAAAATCTATAAGAAACCTTCACAAATACACATAAATTTGCCTTTTAGATATCCCAAATGATTTTAGGTTTTAAATCTGTTTTTATCCTATATACCGTACAAGTGAACTTTGGAATACTCAGTCGTACACAGACATAAGTTATTATTTCCAAGAAATAATAAGTCACGAATACATGATAATAAAAATACCTATTCTTTACGGATTTTTCCTTATTTATCTACAAACGCACTACTTAATCTCGGACGATTTAATATATTTGAACAAATAAAAGATGAAAAGCCGGAAAAGAATAATAGTCTTTCTTGGAAGTAGAAACTCGTCCAAATCCTTTTATTAACGTGTTTGACGTTTTATTTTAAGTGAGATCGGACTGAAGTGGTTTACGGTAAAAGAGGTGATAAGATGAAAACGGACCATACTTGAAACGTACTTAGAACTTTCGTGAGTGTAAACTTGTTTTATTACCTAATTTAATTGTTGTCCATATTTGCAATTTGAACTACACAATTGACACAGTAATTGCAATACGGGTCTGGGCGTGATGTTTGTATTTCTAAACGCACCCACAACAAAAAAATGCTAGACTAGGACAAAGGCCATAAACTAAGTGAAACGTCTACTGATTCTAATACAAACAACACACAAATGAACTTGAAAAGTAAAAATATAAAAAATACACAAATAATTATATAGGTAACCCTGAACACTGTCCCCATTCCACGTCACGGCCAAGACAGAAGCGTACTAATGACAGTGACTCTTGCTCACACTTACCTAGTCCAAATATTAGCAATGAATTACCTTACTCAAGTTACGTTTTGACTAAAAATAGTTGCCAGGTTAACGGTGAGGATATGTGGCGACACATGTCACATGTCAACGGATGACGTCACAAGAATCCTACATCGCACATGCAAAGTTTACAAGCGAATAAACACGAATAGAAAATCCCAACGAGCAACTGTTGGTCAGAAAGCCCGCCAGGCACGATCACCTCACCTGGTCGGAGGATCCTCCTTTTCCGATCTTAGGGAACTATACTCTCTGTTCCCTAAAGATACCTTTTGAAACATTTCAGGTGGTATTTGAGGTCTTTATCTATAACGAGGTAATGCTATTACCATATACCTGGCATATTTCCAAAAAAATAGTGGAATTACTAAGAATTGTGACAATCTTAATGTCCAATTGTGCTTGGTTGCACTAAGCAATAGAAATGGAGACCCCTAGTTCGATATTCTTGGCGAAGTGTCTTCTCAAAGGTCCCATTTCTTTAGGACGCCCGACTTGCAGATAGATATCAGAACAAAAATTAGGGTCGGGCACAAAAAACCAGTTATCCTGTTTTTACAAACTAATCATTAAGGAACCTCTAAACTAAGAGACACTTAGGGACATTTTTGTATTCACCAATATATAAGTAACAGCTGAAAGTACAAGTAAGCGGTTAGTTTAGGTGCGTCGCGCTAAGTAACTCTTACGAGATGTTGAATTTAAAGATGGTTGTTTAAAACGGGCATTAGCTGCGCAATTAAATTGACATTAGGTGAAATACCTGGATATGCGAAGAAGTTATACGAGTATAATGTTTCAATAAAATAGAGCTCAAATCGTAATTAAGTAAACCTTGATCCCGAGTTCTGAGTATGTGTTATAAGATGAAACTAATTAGTCAACTTGTCTGGATAACATCCGGGAAACTTAATTGAAATTTCCAAGTACTTTCACACTCGCAGGAGCCCAAAGTCGAGGTAATTTATGTGTCTGTGAATTTTTAATTTTCCGTGGTATAGTTCTTTGACCATTAAATTGGTTTAATGACAAAAAGAGAAACTAATTTCGTTTAACATTCGTAATTTTAATGAGATTCCGTCTCTTGTGAAGTTTTGATGAGTGTAGTTAGTCTTCTTTAATATTATAAAGAGAAAACAGATTTGATTATTTTAAGAGAAGATTTGAATAGGGTCATTCCAGATAGCAACATAGGACACTTCATTACAACTTTCCTACAGAATCGAAATATCTAAATTCCATGCGGTAGGAGTCGCAGATCGGTAGCTATTATTATGTCTCGTTTAGAATCCTACGGAAGCTTATAATTTTCCTAAGAAATTTATAAACTTACCATTCTTATTATTTTCTGTGACCTATATATATATATATCACCTTAAAAACTAACATAAGCACTTTTTTTAAGGGGGGAAAATCATCGAATGACTGCTCCCGCCTGGGTGAGGCGGAAGGGAGTGTCAGACTCTTACTGACTAAAAACCACCCCGTTCCTTCTCCTGCACGTCGAGCCGGAGCCCCGGTTACTCGTTAGATTCTCCGCGACAACATAAGCACTAAACCTAATATTGTTAAATACATCTTAAATAAGAATAAAATATATTTTTATGAACATACCTGTAATATTGTGTAACAACTTCCTGTGTCATATTTTTGCTGGCATCTGGCTCCTCGACCCTCGCCAGCCCGAAGTCGCATATCTTCAGCACGCAATTACTGTTCACCAATAAGTTCCCAGGTTTGATGTCTCGGTGAAGAATACGTGCTGAATGCAGGTACTTTAGACCTGTAACAGGAGAGATAGAACTGTATAGAAAACTGTAATAATAATAATTTATTTAAGACCGACTGAAGAACGTATTATTTTGTCAGTAGGCTGTGCGACATCGCCGCGACCGCGCACGCTGCTCATGAGGAAGAATCCCTCTGTGATTCGAAACTAGTAGAGCTTTTCTCAGTACATTCACGTAAGTAACCCGCGATTTTTATTTAATTTAGTATGTCTCACGATAGTTAGTATAAAAACATATTTTCGTATTGTTATTTATTACCCGTATGTCAGTTTGTTAATACTTGAATAGTTATAAAATACTTTTACGTTGATTAAACAATAAACATTCTGCATTGTTGAGAATTCATTGTAACTGTATAGTTTTCAACTATCGATATCCGCCGAATTGGAAAATATTTAAGAGTATGAAATAGGAGTATGAATATTCAATAACCGGTATTATCCAATGTCAACATCAACTTTTGGCAATAGGCTCAAAAAAAAAAAAAAAGCTCACCCCCTATTACATGGGACTCATAACATAAATAGTGAAGAGTGGCATTATGTAAGTGCCGTAATGTACACCTCTGTTTACCCCGTCGGGGATAAAAGGCGTGATGTTATGTTATAGTCAACTTTAGAATGAACCAAACATGATACAAAAGAGAGATTCAATCAACTGACTTATCAGAATATAGGTAACCGATTTTCCGATACCTTGTACTATTTGGATGCAGTAAGAGATACTTAGGAACATAGGAACCAAACAAGTAATTCTAATTAAAATTCCCTTGTCAAAAATACCTATATACAGTAATTCGTACAAGCGTGATCGTGATTGACTTGATTCAATGCAAACATTTTGCTAATGGCCGGACAACTTCATCATGGACGCCCCTGTGTTTGAACAAAATTATTGTTCACGCTCACGTACCATGTTCTCAAATGAGTACATTACTTGAATTTATAAATATTATTTCTTAATTAATAAACTATGGTTTAAGGCTCTTTAATGTATACTTCTTTTATTTGATCCCGTACACGCACTTTTAACTACAAGTATCAGATACTACCATCACAATACTACATCGTAAGAATAGAGTAGATTAGAAAACCATCGTAGTATTTAATAAGGGAATAGTTTTATAGTATTAGGGCCGATTCTTCCAACGCCAGATAAATTTTAAGTGAGAATAACTATTAATATTTGACAACTCATCCATTCGAAAAACTGTCCAATTTCTGTCAATTTTATTCAACAGAAGCCTTAGTACGAGTGTGTTTTACGTGTAAAGTATTCGAATCGAGTACGCGTTCGGCGGTCTGATTGGTTGTTTCATTCGACCCGGCCAATCAGAGTGCAGAACGCATACTCGTTTCGAATACTTTAAACGTAAATCAAACTCGTGCGGCCTTAGCAGTTAAGAAGTAACTGAGCATTGAAAAATTGGGATACCTAACCGTAGTCACATACGAGTAATATTAAAATTAGTACATTAATAATTTATCACAAACAGCAACAATAGATAAAATCGATTCCGAATACTTTTTGTTCCGTGTAAACATCAATGAAAATGGATATTAGCATTCATGGATCGATTAATATCGGTGATCAGATCGCAAGGTGACGTTGAGATCATACCAGTAAAGAACTACATTTAGGCAGTTTATAGTTGGATCTAATCAAACTTTTGTTTTTCTAGGGAGATCTAGTTTGTTCTGGCTGGCTTGAGTTGGGTCTAGATCCCCGGTCAGTTTATTTTTAGGCAATTTAGGTTTCTAGTTGGTCGCGTTTTCTGAAGTAGATAAAGAAGGGGATGACGTCAAGGTTGTGAGTGGAATATTTATTATTGTATTAAATTAAATGTGTTATATGGAATAAACTATTCGATTGAGTTATCTAAACATTATTATGGATCAACTATAGTTTTTTTCTTCTCCTTTTATAACATATTCTGATTTATTTCGTTGCGGAACCAAAGACAGTTATTCATATCCCTTGAACGCAGTGAACGCGACTTAATTTCAGTGTTCCGGTGTTTACATGGTTGTATCTACTGTGGATCCTCCCTTACATCAATTGCAGCGATTTAAAGCGGGTATGGCGGGCTTCTCCCGAAAAAAAAATGGCCCGTAAAAGAGCTAAATTGGTAGCACCCTTGAAATGTTAAGATTAATGAATGTAGATGAAACGGACGAGTTATGCCAGAATCGTGCCCTTTACCATTTACAAAACCCATCCAATATGAAACAGGTGCAACGTAAACTATGTTTGTATACAAGCATTTAAAAAATAACGACAGTAATCTATTTGTACCAGTTGGTCACGTTTGCCAATAGACAGATGTGTCAGTCTACCCTCGGTAGTCACGTGACAGCTTTATGCTTATTGACCCAAATCTAACAAGCACTGCAAATGACAGAAAGAATTTGCCGATAAATCCTACTGATTTTCATGTAAAGGACTTTTTAGAGTTATTGAAATATGTATTGTTATATTTTGGTACGGGAGGACACTGTTTCTGGAACATCTTGTTTTATTTTGAAATTCACTCTTATGTTGTAACAACATAAAGCCTTTTTTACATATGTATAAAATTTTTCTGTTTTCTTTTTTACCAGATTTAAAGCTTAAGCAACATCTTTGAAAAAAGAACAAAAACATACCTAACAACACAGAAAAGTGAGGAACACTGAAATCCCAAAAGCTAAATTGACTACGACAATGATGGGTGCAAAAAAAGATCAATCACAAAAAGAGGTTAGACACAAATGCAGTTAAGAAGACACGCGAGAGACGAAGGTTACCCTTTTCAAATCTGTCAAGGGTCTCCAAAAAGGTCTTAAACAGTCTTAATTCGAAACTTCTCAATATGAAGGCGATAATCTTCTTAACAGCCAAGTCGCAAGCTACATAACAAGCTTAGGCCCTCTCCATCACATATTTCTTACCCCAATATAATACAATGACCTCGGTCCCGAAAATATAGCAATAATATGATAGATCACGTAAGTACTTTGAGTTGGATGGAAGAAGAATGGCATCTTTCTAGTACACGAATTCATCAAGGTAGTGCGTGAGATGAGAACATCTGTGTTAGGCATTTGGGGTTAACAGAAGATAACAGAAGTGTAATAAACATTTTATGATATCTACATCAATTTAACAGCCTATAAGTGCCAGCACGGAGAAGGTTTGAGCATTAATCACCACGCTTGCTCAGTGCGGGTTGGCGATTTCAAACTTATGATTAGAAATTATAAGTCCAAGTCTCCTTACGATGTTTTCCTTTACCGTTTGTCAGTGGTATCTAAATAATCTTAGAAAGTACATGTAACTCGGAAAAAGTCACATTGGTACTTGCTGTTAGTAGGTTTCGAACTCGCACCCTCATGTATGAGAAGCGGGCGTCTTAACCTCCGGGCCACCACGACACTGTTTCGTGATAAAAGTCTCATTTAAAGCAATTTGTTTCTAAATACATTAGCGAATAAAAAAACCTTCAGACTAGTAATGAACACTTTCGCAAAAGGAACGCCCTAAGAACATTTGATGCATAATATAACTCATCTATGGATTTATGCCTTGCTGTAGAGATGAAGAACACGCCACCCATGACCAAACTACTTATAAAATACAGTTTAAAAAATCGCTGTTTAAGATAAATCGTGGTACATGCTCATTTTATTTAGCTACGTTGCTACAAGTCGTGCCACAGGAGAAACTTGTAGATACAAATGCGTTGTGTACACACGGACACGCTCACATCTCATTAGACGATATCACCCGCTTTACTGAGCAATGCTACACACGTTGTGTGAGTGTGAAACCTTTGAAAACTATCTACACTTAGGAGTAAAGATACGGACTATTAACGTTGTTTTTTTTTATTTAATCGAACCCTACAATTTATTTAAAAACAAACTTTAAATAAAATTCCTTTTAGCAAACAAATACTGTCATTTTAAAGGTAATTAAAATACATTTTATACGACTTACGTTTAAAATTAATAAAATGTTTGTATCAAAAAAAGAAATACGCCGTTGTGGCCTGCCAACCATCTATATGATGGGGATGCATATGCTGTCGTGAGGGTCGATGGCGAAAAGATACGGCAGGTATCAGGTCAAACAATTCCTCAGAGCACTCCCCGTGGTATAAGTATAGGATGAAATGAAATTAAGATGTTCTATCACTGAATATTTTGTGTTTTTGATCTCAATTAGAGACAGGTCTGATTGGTCGCCTAATAACCGGTACTACACCTACTTAGTGACGAGTCTTATCATGTCTGTTATAATTTAATCACATAACTTTGTTCGACTTGCAACCATTGCCGTATTATCATATACGTATACGTATACGTTACGTAGTGAAATTAGCAGTGCATAGTTAATTTACACATTCATACAATACACAATATTTTCATATCTGTCACTTTGTCAAGACATACATTTGAATACTCCCGATTTACATTTGAAATGCTCAGTTAACCTGTAAATAAACTGTCGTTGAATAGATATTCATTTTCCAACTATCACCTTGAATATCTAGTTATTTAGTAGTAAACGGTTATTATTCATGACTGTAAACAATCAGAATTTGAGATAAGGTAACATCTTTAGAGAATTCCAATATTATTAGAAACTCGTATAGCGTTACTAACTTTGTTTTCATGACAGTTTGTATAGTAGGTGGGAAAGTAAAACTTATCAACAAACTTGACAGTAAGACTAGCCTTGAAAAATCTAATTACATCTACTACTTCAATACAAGTAGAGGCAACTACTACGTACAAGTTATTAAATCAGTCCAATGGATTGCAACATTTGGACAATTTCTGCAGGAGCGAGCGTCAGACACTCGAGCATTAGGGGCTGCGGGCTGCGGGCTGCGGGAAGCTAGCGACGGACCCCGGCGCTGTCTGTGCCAAAACAAATTAACGCCACCTCGCCGCGTCGCTACGAGTTTAATTTCCCAGCGGGTGTACCGCAGTTTTCACCTACACGCAAC